TGAGGGATGGAGAGAGAGAATCTTAAGCAGGCTCCACACTCAGTACAGAGCCCAATGTGGGGCTCGATCACACAACCCTGGGATCAGGACCTGAGCTGAAATCAAGAGTCGGTCGCTTACCCTACTGAGCCACACAGGCACCCATAAAGCACTAGGCAACTATAAAACTTTCCACACACTCTCATTTCTTACTCATTTAGTTTTTACAACAGAGATGACTATTGTTTTTCTTAGAGAGATAGTGAGTGAGCAGGGGAGAGGGAGAGAGAGAAACCCAAGTAGGCTGCATGCCCAGCCTGGAGCCTGACCTCATGACTGTGAGATCATGACCTGAGCAGAAATCAAGAGTCAGAGGCTCAACTGACTGAGCCACCCAGGCACCTCAATGGAGATAACATTTTAAAAATAAAATGTCCATGGTGTTCTCTTAATTTGGTGTAAACATTTATGTATTAGGTGGAATTATTTTTCCTGGAGGTACTTTAAGAACTAGATAACTACCTCTTTAGATACCATACAATGTGAAGGCTAGAAGAGGAATTGGATTTAATAGGCTATTAAAAATAATAGTGACAATAATGTTAACAATGCAGAAGAGTGGGCAATTTTATAATTTGCCAAGTAAGGGCATTAAAAATCTTAAAAGTCTTTATATTTTTATTTTATGACAGACCGTTTTAACACCAAAAAAAACTAGGAAGGACATGTATCAGACTAAAGGACAATTCTTTCAAGTGAATGCTGTGGCTTTATGAAAAACTCATTACTTTTTCCCCCTCATTTTACCACACATGGGGAAAATTTCAACACAGATTGCTATCAGTCCTCAGACGGTGATAGGGATTCCAAAAAGACTGTCAAAAACTGCACCCTAATCATCTAGTCGATTAAGTAACTTCTATTTCACAATATTAGCAAATCAAATTAAACAAACTGAGTACCTATTTTCTGGGAACTTACTTAAAACGAATGGCTTTTTCACAAACAGCCGATAAATTACACACACACACACAAACACACACACACACACACACACACACACACACACACACACACACACAACTCCCGAGTCTTTATGACAATTAACATTTAGGTAAGCCAAACGGAAAAACCATGTTAAGTTACATATAGTTCGCTAAGGTGTGAGTGTGTGTAACTGGCATTTATTAGGGGTTATTGACCTTTGTTTTATGAGGTCATATTTTTCCCCTTCCACATCAACTAACTGGGCATAACTTTAGAATGTCTATCTTTGAAATTGCAGGTCAAAGTCACCACATGAGAGCACTCATGAGACTAACTTCCAAGTGCATGGGCCACGTATGTTACAAAATTTTTTGAAATCATATTTCAAAATATTGACTAAACCTACTAGCATATCAAGAAAGCAATCTTCCAAAAGGGTGTGATTCTGAAAGTGTGGTTGCACCAAAGAAAAGGAAGCGAAGGAACGGAGGGTCTGGGTCTGGAAGTTTCGCTCGAGAGCCAACGGGAATTCAGCTTTAAACCCCTCCTTCAAACGTGCCACCTGGGACAGGATGTAACTTTTACTTGAAAAGTAGTGTCAGGGGTCCCATGTACCTTTACTGAGATTCCAAGCAGGTGAGACACACCCCAGCCTCTCTTGGGCAATTCTAAATTCATGTTCTTTCTTGAGAGACTAGACTCAGATTCTTCCCACCTTCCCCAAATACACACGTGGAAGCAAGGGTAGATTTTTATTTCAGAGACTCCAAGTCCAGGAGGACAGCGGGAGAGCAATGGAAGAAAGCCACCCCTTCGTGAAGTGCAC